GTTATAATGTTTCCTCATCACAGACATACCTGAATGTTTTGTTTAATTGCTGAACTCTATACAGCTTCACTAGAATCATTTGGATGATTTCAACTCTGGAATTGCCTGTGTCCACTGAACAAAAAGTAAAAGGAGCTGTTAACTTTAAAACTACCACTTCATGACATCACAAGATGGAGCAGAGCATTTTGAGCTTTGGAGATGTAGACATACGAATAATAAATGTTACTCAAACATGTGTGAATGAAACAAAACACAACTGCCTTGAGCCAGTAAAATCCTTCACTTGAACGTCACTCAGATCTTTTTACCATGAAGAGCGTGCAGCACGAGCAGAAAGATGTTCCAAAGTTGAGCCTTAAGAAAGAATTCTGACAAGACTGAAGTTGTAGTGTTTGGTCCACAGAAACAAAGGGACAGTGTCAGCAGTCACATCCAGTCTCTCTCTCTAAAACCTTCAAATCAGGCAAGAAATCTAGGGGTAATAATGGACTCAGACTTGAACTTTTACAGCAAATCAAATCAATAACATCTGCAGCCTTTTACCATCTAAAAACACATAGTAAAAATCAAAGGTTTACTGTCTAAATCAGACTTGGAGAAACTTATCCATGCGTTTGTCTCCAGTAGATTAGATACTGTAATGTTCTGCTCACTGGTCTCTCCAAACGAGCTGTGAGACGCTGCAGAACATCCAGAACATCCAGAACATCCAGAACGCTGCAGCTCGGGTCCTGACTCGAACTAGGAAGTACGAGCACATAAGTCCTGTGCTCAGGTCTCTGCACTGGCTCCTGTGCCTCAGAGAATAGACTTTAAAGCAGCTCTGCTTGTACAAGTCTCTCCATGGCCGAGCACCAAAGTACATCTGTGACATGTTAGTGTCATATGAACCATCTCACACTCTGAGGAGCTCAGGGACCGGCCTCCTGCTGGTGCCCAGAGTCAGGACTAAACAAGGGGAGTCAGAGTTTCAGGTTCATGCAGCTAAAACCTGGAACAGTCTGAACATGTGAGACAGACTCTTCTGAAAACTGAAAGGTTTTCATTCCGCACTCTTCTCTCCAATTTATTCCTCTGTTTTTTAATTTTAATCTTCATGATTATTTATGTTTTGATTTGTTTTTATTATGATTTTAATGTATTTCTTATTGTGGCAAGGTAGCTGATCATGTGGTCTCTGGTCTCATGTGGCCTCCTGTGTCACATGGCAGAGACTACAAAGGTCAGAGGGGAACCAGGTGACTTCCTCTTCCTGAACAGGCCTAACACACGGCTATTTCTGGTGAGCCAAACAAATGTAATGTTTGTACATTTTAATCTTGTTAGAAAACAAATTTGTAACTTTTGTAAACATTATTTTAAGGGTTTTAACAGTCCAGATCAGAGGTATGCTTTTAACTTTTATCTTATTGTTTAATTTTAACTGATGTATTTAATTAACTGCACTGTGTTACAGGCTCAGTGCTGGTTGCCTTTTTTGAGTTTTAGTTTTTGATTGTTGATTTGTTCCAGCTCTGCAGTGGGTGTGGGCTGGAGGTATCTGGGTGTGGAGGGGCTCACATAGAGGGTGACCTTATTTATAGTTATTGGTGATGGTGGCACTTGTAATTGGGTGTTTTCAGTTGTGGTAACGGTTTTTACTTTGTATTAATCTTGGTTTGTTTTCTCACTTTATAGCATGTCTACTTCACCCCAGCTTTAGGGTGGAGCCGCACCCCTGCAGTAGTATCCTCACCTGTTAAAAGCACCTTTAAATAAAAGCTACCGTATGGCTGTTCGACCCACACACTGACTGGCTTGCTTTGTTATTAAAGCTACCTGTAAATTCCAGGTGTTACATTATTCTGTAAAGCACTTTGAATTACTTTGTGTACGAATTGTGCTATACAAATAAACTTGTCTTGCCTTTATCTAGTGTTTTGTTTTTTGTTTTTTTTCCATTAATGCTTGCTTTGCGATTACTAATATGATTTGTTGTGTTTTAGTGGGTTGAATCCTGCATTTACGAGGGTTAAGTTGTTTGTAGTTGTGTACCAAAAAGGAACGAGAAAAATGAGATAGTTTTTAAATGTCAGCTCTTTAAACCAGGACCAGGGCGATACTGACAATAATTAAATCACAAAATCACATTCACAATTGAACAGACTTGAGCTGTCATTTCATGTATGTTTAAGCAGTTTTATTGTTTATTTTACTTCTGGTCATGTACAAAAACAGAAGGCCTCCCCATTACGAACCACTTCTATACACTATTACAGACCCTTATGTTTATACCCACGAGCACTTTTACTACTTATGCCCCATTGTTGGGACAGCGGTTATTATTTCAGCAGCAGTTTCCAGATGTGGGCTATTAAAAGTGTAAATTTGTGATAAATAAAGCACATGTTTTGTATTCAAAGCCGTCCTGGAGGTTGCTTGCTACTGTTCAGAGCTGCGGACACATCTGCCTCCCATTACTGCAGTACTGTCCGCGTGGTTATGTAACTCTCAGACAGACCAAAAACACCGCACTCCTATACACAATGTTCTGTTCTAAGACGGGGAATTATTTGTATTTGTATTTATTTCAATATGTGTGTTTATGAATATTTTTTTGAATCTTTGTTGGAGGAAAATGCGGCCTGCAGTAGAGAGCAGAACTAGATTATTTACTATTTTTACTGCGTTAAAATCATGGAGATGTTAATGCATTGCTTGGTTTTGTGCGCAATATGGCTTTAAACATTATACATTTTTCTCAAGAGATCAGATCTCTGGAGAGGCGAGCCAATGTATAGTATGAATGTATGTCTTTCAAGGTATTTTCAAGCAATAAAAAGCTTCATGAAAAGTCAGTTTTGCGCTCAGCTTCGGACGCATGATGCTACAAGAGAAACACTGCCCTCTAGTGGACAAACGTAAAAGTAATTATTTTTATTCGTGGTTTATTACTGTGACATTTCGTGACCTGGAATGTTTCCCAGTATGGAATTAAAATGATGATGTTACCTTGAAATCTTTTATGTATAAAATTTTTCATAATTCAACGACGATCCCCAAAAATTTTCACATTTTACTTTACAACCAATGCAGAGATTTATAGATACAAAACTCATCAAAATCATAATTTTCATGTTCCAAAATGTGCCACATCAAGAGCTCAGTTTTGTCAACGATACAGAGGCTGTAAACTCTGAAGAAAGTTTTCACATCTGGTTAGTGACGACAGATCAGTGGCGTCGTTTAAGAGTTTGAGGAAATGTTTGATATTTCATGGTGGTGTTTGATAATCTTTCAGTTGTAGAGGTTTCATTGTGTTTTAATCTGTGTTTGAGTCAAATTAATTTAATCCATGGTGTTTAATGTTTTTTTTTTTTTTTTTTTTTTAAATTGCACAGCGATAATATTAAATTTTTAATGTATAATAAGGTGGAGGCTTTTTTGGGTTTTTTGCCTCTTCCAGCACCTACTTTTTTATCTAGTGTGTTTTTTTTTTATTATTATTATTATTATTGTTATGTTATACATGCAAAATAAAAAAAAAAATAAATAAAACATTTTAAAAAACATACAGCGTCTCTTGCCTGTGGTCATGGAGATAGTTGAGTTTGAGTTTTTTAATACTGACGGAGGCAACTATTGTTTCTTTTATATCAATCCTCGGAGCAGCGGTGTCACTTTGAGGGAAAAAAACTAAATTTAATAATTTACAAAAAACTCAGGAAGTCCAAAAATAACTTCAAGTACCACACTCACACTCACACGTATAAAAGTATGTAAGTACCTGTATAAAATGTAAAGATTGTTATTACATTGTCCCTTTATCAGAGTCATACCTGATTAAAACACCAACAGACATCTATAGACTCAACTCTGAAATGCTCGGCATATCTTGGGAAAAAAAAAAAAAAATCTCAAGATTGATCTATTCAGAATAGTTTTTAATGTTTAAACAATACAAATAGATCTAGATAGACTTAATTTTTCTGTACAATCTGACAAAATGACCCTCCACAGTACTGTTTTTACTCAGTGTTGCAGTGTTGACCTCCCCAGCTCTGACGCAGTGAACCAACGCCTCGGTTAAATGATCACCATGGTTAAAAATAACCCTTATAACCGCTCAAGATGGTACAGTATCAAGTAAAACCTCCCGAAAAGTTTTCATTCAAGGTAGAAGTGGATAAAACGCTTTGAAAAATTCTGGATCGTGTCAAGTCTGGAGACACAAGTCGATGAAAATCAAGTAAACACACTGATTTACAGTATGAAAGGAGCAGAGTTTATGAGATTTATCTTCTTCCTGTTCCTTTTGTTCATGCAGCAAAGACAAGGCAAATAATGGTAGAAATATGAATTTATGTTAATTGTCAGATTTTGTTGTTGTTGTTGTTGTTCTCTTTTAGCCTGATTCATCAGCCAGGTTCACTTTGTGGAAACCGTCTGACCTTGCAGCATTAGGATTACTTTTTTATTTAACCAATCGCTGCTATTTGGTCATGTCATATATAATGCACCACTAAAGGGGTTAACTGGTATATTAAACTTTTCCCAAACCATGTAGGAAGAAGGGCAATAACGTCTTTCCCCTTGATAAAATACATCAAACATTCTCTTTGTTCCGGCTTCAGGAGACACAAGCTGATGAAAATCAAGTAAACGCACGGATTTACAGTATGAAGCTGATTTACAGTGTGAAAGGAGCAGAGTTTATGAGATTTATCTTCTTCCTATTCCTTTTGTTCATGCAGCAAAGACAAGGCAAATAATGGTAGAAATATGAATTTATGTTAATTGTCAGGTTTTTGGTTGTTGTTGTTCTCTTTAAATTCATGCAGACAAAATAATAACATGAGCAATAAATAAATAAATACAAGCTGAGCATTACATCTGAGTCCTTAACAAGCAGGCGTAGAACAGTCTGTGCAGAACATGTGGTTAAACATTACACTTTTCTATGACCGACACTGACACCTACAGATGCACAGTAGTGGATCTTAGGGCGTGTGTTAACATTGTCAGTAGCTCACCGCCCCTTGAGCATCATGCTTCTGCGGGCCAGACTCAAAATTAATTACAAATGGAAATCTGCCAGAATAAGTCGCCTGAGCTTGTGCAGGTATGTGTTGTTTGTTTTATCTGCTGTTCCGTGTTGAAGTTCTGTACATGTTTCATGAGTGACAGGAGTCTGCACGTGGACAGTCCTCCTCAGCAGCCCACCCTCCGCAGCAGCTATGTCCACGGCACGTCTTCAGTGTCTCTGCTGCAGCTCACTGTGAGCCAGGCCCTGGACTCGGTCACAGAGCGCTGGCCTGAGCGAGAGGCGCTGGTCTGTGTGGAGGACGGGGTCAGGAAAACCTTTGCACAATTTCACCAAGATGTGAGTTTTAAAATAATAATACATGGACTTTACACGATCTCCTCCTTTCTACAAACATGGCACCAACTCCTCTCTAGTTTAGTTTAGTTTATTTATTTAATGAGACAAGGACAGGACTTTAACCTTAACATTAGAGACACATTGTACCAGGTTGTAGTGCCAGTGCTCATTTCCGTCTGTCATCCCTGGGCAGGTTCATATTATAGTTCATAAAATCAAACATACAAACAGAATGTCTTTATAATGTCTGGAGAATCATAACAATTCTGTATCCTCATTCACACCCAGTTCTCTCAGCATCTTAAAATCATCATCCTTATCAAAATCATCATTCAGTTCATTCACTCCAGAACATCACACTCTCTCCAGACACTCATCAGTCACATTATGGGCGCAGGTTTGGTTTGAAAGGAGCCACTGTTTCGCCAGGCGTGAGAAAGTGTCATAGTTTGTACATGTGATCAGCTCTGTTGTACGTTTTGACTGTATTTTTGTAAAGATCTAAACGACAACAGCATTTACAGATGTTGTTTACCTCAGTGTCTTAGGTAAATGAGAAAAAATATGAAACAGTCTGAGACATGTTTGGAGATGTGTGCATAAAAGTTTAGATTATTTAAAACAAACATGAAGAAGATCACATATCTTATCATGTGAACTAGGTTTATGGGAGTAATGATTCATCTTTTTATCAAACACTGACTGACTGTACATATATAACACAATGATGTAACAAGTGTTGTACAGGATATGAACCGTGACACTGATGGACACTCTTTAACCCACTGCACCAGCTCCAGTACAGGTGTAATATTTAGTTGTGGTGCAGGTGGACAGGCTGGCTGCAGGACTGCTGGCTCTGGGTCTAAAACCAGGAGACCGTGTGGGAGTGTGGGGCCCCAACTCATATGAATGGATCCTGTCTCAGTTTGCCACAGCCAAGGCTGGCATGATACTGGTCCGTCTTGAGTCTAAAGTAAAAACATGTATTGATCAATGAATCTGAAACATAAATGATCAGATTTATTGCTGCAGGTTCCACTGAACTCGGCCTATCAAATGAAGGAGCTGGAGTTTACTCTTAAAAAGGTACAAAGAATTGAGTAAATCACACTGATCTATACCGGGGTCATCAAACTAAGGCTCGCGGGCCAACTCCGGCCTGCCACGCCCCTTTGACCCTCTGCCCCCACCACTTGAACTGGTCCTATGAGACAATCCTCAAAAGTTGTTACAGCCTATTTTTTTTCATTACTTTTTGGCAAATAATAACACGTCTGCATCTTGTATTTTTTTCAATTAAAAAATATATTTATATGATGTATTTACATTTGCCGTCGAATTTGCTGCTGAATTTTCATCACCTGACAAGCTCGAGATCAAACAGTGACAGTCGACGCACACATAGAGTTCTGTAGTGCAGTTAAGGACAGCAAAATGCCGAGTGTTAAAGTACGAAAAGTTAACAGAGTGCAGAGTTTTCAAAGAACAGTGGATGACCGATTATTTTTTTGTTCAGTGTAAGGACCGTGCAGTTTGTCTGATATGTAAAGAAATTGTGATGGTTTTCCAAAGGATATAATCTGCAGTCATACAATTCTGTTATACGACCGACCCGACCCCGGCCCCATCACAGTCAGGAGGGATAATGTGGCGTCCAGAGAAAAAAGTTTGATGACCCCTGGCCCATACCAAGTATTAGTAATAAATGTAAGCAAATTGTTTGTTTGGTTTTGCAGGTTCAGTGTAAAGCAGTCATTTGCCCTTCTAGTTTCAAAACCCAAAAGTTCAGTGAAATCCTCAGACGCCTCTGTCCAGAGATCGACACGTCACCAAAAACCCAAATCCAAAGCTCCAGGTGAAACAGCCCTTACAAAGTCCAGTAAAAGCATGTATTTGCAGTGTGGTCTCTGTTCTCGTCCTGTAGACTTCCAGACCTGCGGATGGTGATCCTGATGGACAGCGTGCAGCCGGGAATGTTGCGCTTCCAGGACGTGATGGACGCAGGCGAGAGTCGGCACCACAGAGAGCTGATGGATCTGCAGAGCAAGTTCACCTGTGACGATCCCATTAACATCCAGTTTACCTCGGTAACCTCCATCATTATCTCAAAATAAAAGGGCAACTTGTGGAATGGAAAAAAATATATATGTTTTATGAAATACAGCAATTCAAAACTATATGACCAAATATAAACATCTATAAAATATATGTGTGTGTGAGTGATCATCTGATAAAATGACACTTCATTTTAAGTAATTATATGTTACTGAAGATTGGTATTGGTATTTTATAGGGTTGGGTATCATTAAGAAGTTGCCGATACGATACATACCTCGATACAGTGAACTTTCAATTCAAAATTATATATTTCGGTTCAATAAATCATATCGCTGTGATACTAAAAGTCTTTGTTAAACCACTTCTTGTGCAAAGTTCATATGAAACACAAACATTTTAATCATCAAAACAGCGAAAATGTCAAACAAACAAGCTTCCTTCCTCTAAACAAGCAACAAAACTGTAGCGCTGTAACAAAATAATTGTGTAAAATATACCGGGGCGCTAGTGAGATGGCTAGGGAGTAGACGTGTTTTTTGCGAGGCTCCTCGAGGCGCGATAACTTTTATTTTTTAAGTATTATTTGCCAGCTTTTATGACTCCAAAGATATTTTAATACTAGCGTCGTTCGTTTGCCTACATTTCTTTTCATTTTAAACCGACAAAATGCCCGGTAAGCGTCAGGAAAAGGGTCGCCAGCAGAAGCCAGAAGCTACAACCACTGCTAGTGCTAGCGCGGCGGATCCGAGCCATGAGTTCAGCCCAGAGACGGAGAGCGGAGAGGAGGACGAACTACCACTTATGTGGCAGAAAATAGAAAGGAGCATCCTCCGGTCCATTAATGTCCGTTTTAACGAGTTCGGAGAGAAACTTGAAGGCCTCTTCGCGCGACAGGAGGCCCTGAACAAGAGGATGGACGAAATGGAAGACCAGGCTGCGAACCACGAGCAGCGCATTGAGAATATGGAGACGGCGCTTGGGGAATTACAGAAAGAAAATAAAGCACTCCGATCGAAACTTTCGGACCTGGAGGGGAGATCGAGGCGTAACAACATAAAAATAGTGGGCATCCCCGAAGGAGAGGAGAAGGGGAGGCCAACGGACTTTGTAACTGATTTGATTCCTAAACTTCTCGGAGCCGAGAACTTCGACAAGCCTCTGGTCATAGATAGGGCACATCGCACTTACAGAACGGACGGCTCTAAACCACGCACTATCATTGCTCGGGTCCACTTTGCCCAGGAAAAAGAAAAGATTCTGCGCATTGGGAGACAACGCACCCTAGACTACGGTGGGAAGAGAATCTTCATTTTTCCCGACTACACCGCGGATGTCATGGAGCAGCGACGGAGCTTCAAGGAGGTACTACAGAGGCTGCGAGAGAAGAACATTCAACACTCTCTTCGCTTTCCGGCGCGGCTTCACGTTCATCACCAAGGGCAAGTAAAAACTTTCAACAGTCCTGCGGAAGCTAAGACCTTTGTAGACAACGAACTCTAAAGTAAGTTTCATCTCCAGGTCCCAATACTATTATTTAAATTGTTGAAATTGGAGGACATAATGACTATTACTGTTACTATATAAATGTTAATGCTGGCACATAAATATTATTTACGTGTTCTTGAGGTGCTGATATTTTTAGATTTTTCTTATGAGGTTTTTTTTTTTTTTTCCTTTCTTTCTTTTAAAATTTAAATACGTTTCTCTTAGGCCGGTGGCCCCTAGTGAGTATGTGGGCAGTTCAGCTTCGTTTGGGGAAGCTATGGGCGGGGGTATTGTTCACACATAAGTTCTATGTGATTGTGTGTATTTGTTCTTGTATGTTCCTAACTGCCAGACAAACACTAAAGTGTATTTTTGTACTTCAAGGCAACTGCATTTTGTTTAATATTTTCTATCTACTATGATGCATGCATAATCCCATAGATACTTTGTCCTTGGTCTTCTGGAATGTGCGGGGCTTGGGGCACCCCATTAAACGTGGTTAAAGTATTTGCACATTTAAAATTATTGAAAGCTGATATAGTGTTCCTGCAGGAAACGCATGTTAAAGATACACAACACATGAAAACTTAGAACCAATTGGGTTTCGCAAATATATCATTCACCATTTACTTCCAAAGCTAGAGGTGTGGCGATTCTTTTTCGGAAATCAGTACCTTTTAGATTCCAGTCCAGCATAACAGATCCTAATGGTCGGTTTATTATTGTCACTGGGCAAATTAATAGATTTCCTGTGACGTTAGTTAACATATATGGACCAAATACCGATGATCCAGCCTTTTTTCGTAGAGTATTTAACATGGTTCCAGATGATGATACAAGTTATCTGCTGATTGGAGGGGATTTCAATTGTTATTTGGATCCTTATTTGGATAGACTTTCTACTGCATCGCCACCTAATATAATTTCAGTGCAGACTCTAAATAATTTAATTAAATCAAAGAGAATAGTTGATATTTGGCGTCTTCAACACCCATCTGATCGTGATTATTCTTTTTACTCTCATACCCATAAGTCATACACACGTATTGATTATTTTTTAGTGGATTCCAGGTTGATTTCTAACATCGAATGTAGTAAGTATCATAATATAATAATTTCTGATCACGGCCCTGTTAATATAACCCTTAGACTTTCTCTTCCCAAGCAAACTTATTGTTGGCGCTTTAACCCCATGTTGCTTGCAGACCCTAATTTCAACAAATACATCAATGAGCAGATCTCCTTATTCCTTGAGACCAATGACAATGGTGAAGTCAATGATTCAACCTTGTGGGAAACTTTGAAAGTTTACATTAGAGGGCAAATCATCTCTTTTGAGGCGAGACGCAACAAGACCAGATATGGCCGTCTGAAAGAAATTGAGGAAGAACTGAAAACTGCAGATGAGACTTATAAAAGATCTAAACTTCAATCTGACTACAATAACATTCTTAGGCTACAATATGAATATAACACTATATTGGGAGACCAGGTTGGTAAAATTATTTTAAAATTGAAACAGAAGAATTTTGAATTAGGTGAAAAGCCCCATAAATTGCTGGCTAGGCAGTTGAAGGGGGAGCAGACAAAGCGGGCTATTTATAAAGTGAAGTCTCGAACTGGAGTTCTGATGACAGATTTTGCAGGACATCAATGAACGTTTTAGGGAGTTTTATTCTGACATTTACTCCTCCAAAACAAAGGCCACACAAGAAGATATGGATAACTTTTTTGAGTCCCTACCTTTTCCACAGTTGGATGCAACCTCCAGGGAATACTTGGATTCAGAGTTTACTATAATTGAGATTCTTGAAGCCATAAAAGCCTTTCCTTCTGGAAAAGCTCCTGGCCCTGATGGGTATAGCCCTGAATTTTATAAGGCCTTTGGTGTTAAACTAGCCCCTCTACTACTAAGAATGACACGTCATGTTTATACAAATAAGTTACTCCCAACTTCTCTATGTGATGCAAACATATGTGTACTCTTGAAGAAGGGAAAGGATGATACAGACCCAGGGAATTACAGGCCAATTGCCTTATTGAACAATGATCTAAAAATTATAACAAAGGTGTTGGCCACAAGACTAGGAAAGTGTATAGCGAGTATCATACATCCTGATCAAACTGGGTTTATACCCGGTAGATATTCTTTCTGCAATGTTCGTAAAATTCTTAACATTCTATATTCCGATCATAAAAGAACCAAAGGTGCTGCTGTGCTTTCTTTAGATGCGCATAAAGCATTTGACACCATAGAGTGGCCGTACCTATTCAAAACACTGGAAAAGTTTGCTTTTAGTGATAAGTTTATTGCGTGGGTAAAAATTTTGTATATACTAGTCCTAGATCCTCCATTATTACAAATGGGAACAAGTCTAAACCTTTTTCTCTAGGCAGAGGGGTACGTCAGGGAGATCCCTTGTCCCCCTTGCTGTTTGATATCGCACTAGAACCTCTAGCTATTGGGATACGGGAAAATCCAGACATCAAGGGCATTACAGTGGGGGGAACTGAGACATGTGTTACATTATATGCAGATGACCTATTGATATGTTTGTCAGATGCAAAAAAACATCCATTCCTGCACTACTAGACTATGTAAATTCATTTGGACAGATTTCTGGATATATACTATAAACTGGGGAAAGAGTGAATTTATGCCATTAGTGGACAGTTTACCACAGGTATTTCTAGACACTGTACCATTTAGTGTGGTAAGCGATTATTTTAACTATTTGGGACTGAAATTGACAAGGGATCCTGTAAATCTTTTTAAAGCAAATTTTGCAGAATTATTGGATAAACTTAAAATCAATATTGAGGCCTGGAGAATATTACCATTAACTTTGATTGGGCGAGTTAATGCAATCAAAATGGTTAGTCTACCAAGATTTTTATATTTATTTCAAAACTTACCTATTTATCTAAGTGCATCCTTTTTTAAAAAGCTGGACTCTATTATCATGCCTTTTGTGTGGGGTTACAAATCTCACAGGATATCTAAAGCTCACATTCATAAGTCGAAAGATGAAGGAGGTCTTGGGCTCCCAGTTTTTAAACATTACTATTGGGCAGCCAATTCCAGAGCTCTTACTTACTGGAAACAGGCAGAAATGATTGATGAGGAACAGGAAGATACCCCTTCTTGGGTTAGACTTGAAGCTTCTGATATTGATAATATTTCACTTTGTTCATGTCTGTATTCAAATTTACCTTTAGATGAGCCGATTAAGAAAAAAATTATTTTGAGGAACTCCCTTCGCATATTAAAACAGATTAAAACAGGGACTCAGTTACCTAAAGATTCTATGTATATTCCAATCTGCCGAAATCCACAATTTAGACCTGGCCAGTTAGATGCAACGTTTGTTACATGGAAGAGAAAGGGTATTGTAGCTCTGACTGATTTGTATATTGACGGTCAGTTTGCTTCCTTTGCCCAACTCCGTGATAAATACAATATTCCAAATTCACATTTCTTTCGCTATCTTCAAATTCGACACTATGTGAAACAGACATACAAGCATTATGAATCAATTCCACCCTCTCATAAATTTTACGACAAGCTGCAGCTTTTGCCTGATTCTAAACATCTCATCTCTCAATTTGTGAACTGTTTTAATACTTCTGTCTCTACTGAATATCTGCGGGAGGCATGGGGTAAAGATTTAAATTCTGACATATCTGCTGAACTCTGGGAGAAGGCATTGGCACAAATTCATTCATGTTCTATTAACAGTCGTTATCAGCTTATCCAGTTCAAGGTGGTACACAGGTTACACTATTCTAAAACAAAATTGAATAGAATTTTTCCAACAGTGTCTTCCCAGTGTGACAAGTGTTCCTGTGCCGAAGGAACACTTGCTCATCTTTTTTGGTTTTGTCCACAATTATCTACCTTTTGGTCCACAATCTTTAAATGGTTTTCTAACTGTTATTGCAGAGATATTAAACCGGATTATAGTTTAGCCATATTCGGATGCTCCACGGATGATCTGGGACTTACATCGGACGTTTGGCGGGCGCTGCAGCTTGGGATGGTGGTGGCTAAAAAACATATTCTGCTGACATGGAAGTCCGCCACACCTCCAATTTTTGAACACTGGCTCCGTGAAATGGTGTCCGTTATCCAAATGGAGCGTATTCGTGTGGACACCATGGGCAAAGAGCAGAGACATAAAGCAATATGGGGACCATTCCTGGCTCAATGTCAGATTGCCACCATTTGATTGACGGGACATACATATTTGTATTTTTTTTGGTTGACTACTATAACTGTTTATTATTGTCAGTTGCTTGCTTGTACTTTTTATTTTGTCTTGTCTGGCAGTTTGTCTGTGTTTTGTTGTACTGTATGTTCTTTTAAAAGAAACAATATTAATAAAGATAAATATACCAAAAAATACTCCTGGGGATATATATCGATACAACAGCCCACAATATCAATTCTGTATCAGCACATTTTTTGTATGTATTTGTTATTTTGTTTTTTAGGGAACAACTGGTAATCCAAAAGGAGCCTGTCTGTCGCACCATAATATTGTTAATAACGCATATTTAGCAGGACTCAGAATGGGATATGGGTGGAGGGTAAGTCATTTGTATGAAATATTTATATTCACGTGTATACATTTATGGGCACTGATTTGATAAAAAGAAGTTTCAAAGGTTTGTAATAATGTTATAGCCATGATAGTAAAAGTACGGAGCTGGGGATGCAGTTTAGGTTATTAAGTTTTGGGGAAGGGAAGTAACTTGAAACAAAACAACAAGAAAAAGAATAAACCAATTGGTGAACTCAACAAAACAAACTAAAGGAGAGCAAAGACAATGATCTGCTGTAAAACACAAAATTCCAAAAAACCACAGACAGGTTGGATACATTTTAATACATTTAAAAACACTTTATAATAACTACACCTTATTTAGCCTTAATAAAGCATGAATAAAGACTTAATTAATAATGATTCACCCTTAGTAAATGTTTAAGACTAACAGATAACAGCTGCCTGAATTATCATTGCATTGCATTATTAGTAAATCATTGTCTCATAGTTTACTAATGATTAATAAATGCTCAAATGGTTAGTTCATGAGTAATTAAGTATGAAATCATTATGAGTAACTATTTACAGCACAGGCAAATTAAGTGCAAGTGCTAATTAAGGTAGTAATTAAGTAGTTACTAAGCGTGAATCATTATTAATTAAGTCTTTGTTCATTATTAATTAAGTCTTTGTTCATGATTTATTAAGGCTAAATAAGGTGTAGTTATTATAAAGTGTTACCAAAAAATGTGGCTACCTGTGCGTCATGAGCCTCACACACTGATCCCCCGTAGCACAGCTCAGTTTTAAAAAAAAATAGTGTGGCCGCTCTAACACACAACAACATTCACTCTCACGCACAAACTATTTAAAAACTAAAACAGCCAACTTCACCTTAAATTCTACTTGTCTGTGGCTTTGCAGTGACACCCCGTGGTTCCACCCGCTACTATAAATTAAAATTACAATTCATTCAACACAACGCTCCAAAATAATTTTCCTTTTCAATCGCTCAGCCCGAAGCGCGTGTGTGTGCTCCTGTGCCCCTGTGCCACTGCTTTGGCTCTGTGATGGGATCGATGACCATGGCCGTACACGGTATCACACTGATCTTTCCTTCCAAGGGCTACAACAGCAGCGACAGCCTCAAGGCCATTCAGAATGAAAGGTAAAGTAGAAAGAACTGATACTCGCTGAAACGTCTTATACTCAATAGTTTTCTTATAAGGTGCAACATCGTCTATGGGACTCCCACAATGTTCATAGACATGCTGAACCAAACAGACCTCCACACGTTTGACTTGTCTTCTGTTGAAGGAGGTAAGGAGCCTCTTGGAGCTAAAAGGGATATTCAGCCAGTTTATTTTGGCAAACTCTGTATCCAGGGTTTGGCATGTGTAGTCTGCAGTAGGTTAGATACTGTAACGTCCTGCTCACTGGCCTCACTAAAAGAGCTGTGAGACGGTGCAGAACATCCAGAACGCTGCAGCTCAGGTCCTGACTAGAACTAGGAAGTACAAACACATAAGTCCTGCGCTCAGGTCTCTGCACTGCCCCCTGTGGCTCAGAGAATAGACTTTAAAGTGACTCGTGTACAAGTCTCTCTGCAACTGTGACATATTAGTGCCATATGAACCAGCTTGCACTCTGAAGAGCTCAGGGACCGGCCTCCTGCTGCTGCCCAGAGCCATGACTAAACATGGAGAGTCAGTGTTTCAGATTTATGCAGCTAAAACCTAGCCTGATTCATCAGACGGTTTCACTTCGTAGAAACTGTCTGACCTCACAGCATTAGGATTCGTTCTTTCAATGGTAGGCGGGTACTTTTTTTTTTAACTAATCACTGCTATTTGGTTGTGACGTATGTAATGCACCACTAACAGGACTAACTGGTATATTAAGCTTTTTCGAAATCCCGTAGGACGAAGGGCAATAATGTCTTTCCCCTTGATAAAATTCATCAAACATTCTCTTTGTTCCGGCTTTAAATCTTCGATCTTGGGAATCGTTGCCAACACAGAATGTATGTATCTTCTCTGATTTGCTGGTGCCCGGACTCGCACTTCCGAGGCTTTTGCAAACCGTCTAGTCTAGTGTATTCTGGTTCCTGATCTAGTCGCTGGAGAGAAATGAAATTGAGCGAAGGCACTAGGTGGCGCCAGCCTGGCTTACAAAAACTTGGAACAGTCTGAACATGTTAGACAGACCTCTACTTTGACGCTGTTTAAATCTAGGCTCAAAACGCTTCTGTTTAGCTACATATGACTGAAAGGTTTTTATTTTTCATTCCGCACTCTTCTCTCTCATTTAATGTCTCTCTCTCTTTTTAATTTTATGATGATTATTTATGTTTTGATTTGTTTGTATTGTGATTTTAATGTGTTTCTTATTCTGTACAGCACTTTGAATTACTTTGTGTACAAATTGTGCTGTACAAATAAGCTTGCCTTGCCTTGCTTTAAAATTACAATATGTTTCCCTTTACATTTTATTTGTAATATTTTATTTATGATAGGTCTCATGGGAGGAGCCCCGTGTCCTCCTGAGATTCTGAAAAGACTTAAAACGGAGATGAACATGAAAGAAATGATGGTAAGAGTCATGTGATGTGTCTGGTGCCCCGGTGTTACGGCGAACTCACTTTGTCCACAGACAGGTTATGGAACCACTGAGAATAGTCCTCTCACCTTCTTAGGATTCCCCCTGGACACTGACGACCTCAAGTGTAATACTATCGGCTGCATAATGCCCCACACTGAGGTATGAATATGAATTAAACTGTATTTTCTTTGAGCTTTAACACAGTGACTTGTGCTGTTCTGTGGTGTCAGGCGAAAGTGGTGGACCCTGTCACTGGGGTCACAGTTCCTCTGGGAGCTTCAGGAGAGCTCCTGATCAGAGGGAGCTGTGTGATGCTCGAATACTGGGCAGATGAAGCCAAAACCAGAGAGGTCATTGGTAAAGACCGCTGGTACAGGACAGGGTAAGCACAAAGTTACTGATATGATTTTGGAGATACTTCTACACATAATTCATCTCATAACCAGATCCATGCATCTTTCTTCACACAATCCCCAGTTAATTCCTCTTTCTGTCCTATTTCTAAGAGACATAGCCAGTTTGAACAGCAGGGGATATTGTGTTATCAAAGGACGCATAAAAGATTTGATCATCAGAGGAGGAGAAACATCTACCCAGCTGAAATAGAGCAGTTTTTATTCACACATCCAAAGGTCAAAGAGGTGCATGTAAGTAATCACACCATGAGAAGGCAGCACGTCATATGTGTTACACTCTGTACTTTCAAAATGAAACATTTGATAAAAAAAAGGTTCTGGTGATGTTTAGGTGGTCGGAGTGAGAGACGAGCGGCTCGGTGAGCAGGTTTGTGCCTGTATCACCCTGAAAGATGGACAGAGCTGCACTCCACAGGAGATCCAGTCTTTCTGCAAAGGACAGGTCTGAAAAATGTCAACAACTTTATGAAGCAGAGCAGCAGCTACACCTGCTTTTGTTTTATAGATCTCGTACTTTAAGATTCCACAGTACGTGGAGTTTGTGGACGGGTTTCCGTTGACAGCTTCTGGAAAGGTTGGATTAAACTCATGCTCAAACACAATCATATTGTTTTGATCAGTGGTTGGTTTTACTTTTCTCTTTTACAGATTAAGAAGATTGAACTAAAGGAAATTATTGAGAAAAAATTGGGAATTTAATTATATGTAACACAGTTTTTATGAAAGGTAGTAGATGACACTTATTAATATTTATATAGTATAATATAAAACCAACAGAGCAGACATAGTTAGTTTGAACAGCTCTGAACAGCTATCTTGAAAGGCACTAAATAAATGCACTCAATCAATCAATCAATCAATCAATCAATCAGACAGTTAACTGTTGCAGTCGTCTATCACATAGAAACTTTGTGGGCTGATTTGAGCAGAGTGCACACACTTTTTGGTCCTAGTCCTCCTTTGGGTCAGTGACGCCTCTGACGTAGGCAGAAGTGGTACTGGCCACTGAAACATGTCAGGTCAATAAGATATTTAGCTTTTTACAATTTGTCTTATTAGAATAAAATACAAGTTTCTATATAATAAAAGGACAAAATCAAATTTCTAAATGTTGCCTACTATCACAGATCTGATGTTGGACTTAAGTTGTTGACATAAACAACTGTCAAACTGCTAAAACCATAATGTTTAGTTGTTGGGGTTTTTTTTTTCAATTCCTTTGACACACTTTTTTCTTGAAAACTGACATTTGCAGCAGCTCATAGCAGATTTTACCGTCAACACTCACCAACTTTGGTCATGTGTTTTGTGTGTGTTAGGTCATGTTTATGCTTTTTTTCTTTTTATCTATCTTGTTATCTTAATGTTTTATCAATTAAGAATGACATAATATTGTGAAAGCAGTAAAGTACTTCTGAAAACATTTTTGTACAAAGAGTAAAGTGCAGTGACTTTTTAAAATGGAACTTATCTGTTTTTGCAAATGAATTCTTCACTTGTACCAAAATGATTGTGCGCCGCAGCTGAATCCTACGTCTATCACAGATTGAGAAAGTTAAATTGGAAAACAAAGTAAGTTCAGAGCAGTGGGCGTGTGCTGGTGGAGGTGAAAACAGGAAAACTGGTATTGAATACAACTTTGAGCGGGTCCATTCAGGGAAGACAACTTGTAAAACTATTGGCCTCCATCATGATAAACATATATTTGTGTGTATACATTTATTTATTTACTTTTTTTTCACATTTTCTGAAAAATTCTACATTTTCTCCACGATCAGAAATCTTTGGTTGCAGATGGTCAAAACGGTGCAGTACACACCCAACTTTAGACGCTCTAGAACCAGCAGGAGTCCAGCATTTTGACAGTGGAGTTCTCTGTTTAGAGTGTACCTCAGTTGAATGACTCTAAACTGGACAGAAGTCACACAATGTCTTTGCTGTTGCATTTTGAACACGTTGTCTTTCCAACGTGTTCTTTCTCTAACAGGAACATCAAATATAACCAAGGTCAACACAGACAGAGGGACACTTATCTCACAGTTTATTTATTTATTCATTCATTCAGCCTGGTGAGGAGTGTGGGGTCATAGAGCTTTCATAGAGTCATTCAAACAGTGTCACTCCTATAGATGCATCAAGCATGTCAGACTTCCGGTCATTGCGCAGTTCATACTGGGAAAGATTTTCCGAAAAAGTGAGCATCAAATCGTTATGTTTGTTTTCCCAGTGGGATGCGTCTATTGACAAAGCCAATCTTTTCAAGTCTTTTGAACCATATCGCTTTTGTTTCTGGTTCTGATATTGTCATATTTTAGTTTTGGGATTCGGACATCGTTAATTGTGTGATTGTTGGATCCTAACAGCGGAAAACGGCTCAAGAAATTTATATCTGACTTTATAACTGCAAAAGGGAATCAGATCTGTGTGACGGCAAACCTCTGTTCAAATTGTTTTCCTTCCCCAACGGAATTGAAAAATAGTGAAAAGCGAAGGCGATGGGCAGTACTGATCCACGGGAAGGACGAAAAAGGTCATCTTTGACTGCCTAAATCATCCTGAGATTGCAGCGAACTTTTTGTCACACACATCTGATTCCCTTTTGCATCTATGGAGTTTGCAAACAAATTTCTCAAGCCGTTTTCCACTGTTAGGATCCAACAACCACACAATTACGATGTCTGAATCCCAAAACTAAAATATGACAATATCAGAACCAGAAACAAAAGTGACATGGTTCAAAATACTAGAAAAGATCGGTTTTGTCAATAGACGCATCCCACTGGGAAAACAAACATGGCGGTTTGATGCTTGATGCTTTCGGAAAATCCTTCCCAGTAGCACTGCACAATGACCGGAAGTCCGAGATTCTTGATGCATGTTTTGAAAAATAGTGAAAGGCGAAGGCGATGAGCAGTATTGATCCACAGGAAGGATGAAAAAGGTCATCTTTGACTGCCTAAATCATCAAGAGTTTGCAGTGAACATTTTGTATGTGGAGCGCCATCAAAGCACTGGGGTAATTACACTTCCTGTTTCAGATCAGTGTTGGGCAGTAACTAGTTACAAAGTAAGGGATTACTACAAGGGATGTAACTAGTTCAATTGAGTAATTAGATTACAGTTACTTGGCCTAGTAATTTTAGTGACTTCTTCAATGGCAAAAATGTGTGTTATCCATTAGAACTGTGTGGTAAAACAGTAACACAGGTAAACAAAAGCACAGAATGTTCTCTTGTGACGTCCTACACAGATCGGCCTTGAGCCAAAACAACACAAATATTGGTTTAAAGTGGACTGTGCAAGGACATGGCGTCGGTCACACTCCTGGTCCTATGAGTCCAGGCGTTGGTAGAGGAGGATGTAGGCACAGCTCTCCCTCATCTGGCAGCACACTGTTCTAGTGCTGCGGCTCACCTTCTCATCATCGTACATGAGCCAGCCATCTGTGGGCTCCAGGGGTTGATCTTCAGGGTCCTGGCCATCACAGATGTAGTGTCCTGACAAAACACAACATCAAGTTAAGAATTCATTAAAGGAACTATTTGTAAGATTTTAAATTTCATAAACATGACCTATGTGTGTCCCCATGTTCAAATCAAATAGAGCTTTTTAATAACTTGATTTGTTTGTAATTACTAAAACATTGGACATGATGGTGATGCTGACTAATGATTTCACTCGGTGGTAGAAGAATAACAAGAGTGACATGTCATGTTGTCTGAGAGAAAATGAGAGACTCATTCTGCTTCGTCTGGTGAACCAAAACACCAAAATTAGACCTAAAACAAAAAAAATGGGACATCGTGTATCTGGAGACAAATGTTTATGAAATTTAAAATCTAAATCTTACATACAGATTCTTATAGTTTACCCATAAAATCTGTTCTGCCCATTTTCGTCCAGCAGATGGGGCTACAGCACTTCTTCACGTCTTCATGACGCATCAATGAAAATGACATTAGAGAACCAGTCCACAGAAATGGAAGGAAACATAATGAATGAGCCCATTACAGACTCACACCCAGGGCTATGGGTAATATATGCAGGCATACATTAGCAGCTATGGTTTTGTTTGTGCGATCTGGGTTTAATTAAAGCTCTGCCAATATCAGTGATGAAAAGTCATTAGCGCATGTACCCGGGCCCGTTTACCTCACTGACTGTTAACATCGAGCAGATTTATTTCTTTATTTGATTTTTATTCTAAACAAATTCAAAAAAGAAACAAAATAAAGAAACACAGACAGCAGATAGTGGACTTATTCTGGATAAAAATCAAGCACAGAGCCTTCAAGTGGACAGTTTTCCAAAACTTGATGCCACAACACAAATACCTAAAGTTTTACATTGTACTAGTCTTTAAATACCAGGGCTGGGTATCGTTAAGAAGTTGCTGATACGATACAGACCTCAATACATAACCCACGATACGATACATATCTCCATATAGTGAGCTTTCAATTCGATATGATTCGATATATTTCAAATCGATTTGATACCGTTCAATAGAAAATAAAGGCTAAATCATGGCTGTGATACTTTGTTAAACGACTTCTTGTGCGATGTGAATATTAAAACCAACATTTTAATCATCAAAACCCTTAAAATGTCAAATGTGCTGCATTAAAGAGTTTCCTTTCACTAAATCAGACATGTCAAACTTGGAATGCAATATAATTAGGCCCGAGCCCCGACAGGGCGTAGGGCCTATTGCTTCCGCTCAGCGGAGCAAATGGGAAGGGACGTGCGCATGTCCGAATGCGACAAGACGACATGCAACTATGTCCACGGTCGCCCCCGGCACGAACAGCAGTATCCCAGTAACCCACACCCAAGGCCTGGCTCATATTTACTACTGCTAAAATGAATGGAAGTCAATGGAAGGCGATGGGTGACCTCGACGAGATGGCGAATGACGAGCGCCTCAGTGCCCGTCACTCACCAATGACCCCACGGTGACGTGGGGAAGGTCGAGAGCTTTCAAAAAACGTATAATATGTTGTTCTAAACTTTTCGGATATATTGTTTTTGCTAAAATTATTATTATTATTATTTTATTTTATTATTCTTCTGCTCTTTGAGCTCTAATTTGACCCCCTAAACACGTTCAAAAACTCACCAAACTTGGCACAATATTCAGAAGTGGCGAAAAATTCGATAAAATATAGGTTTCGTGCACGGGCATAAAAAAATGGCGACACAGCGCCACCTGGAAAACTCAAAATTTTGGCGTCTATGGGAGACGTCCCGGTCAACTTTGTCGTAGAGCCACGAAATTCGGTACACACATTCATCATGTGAAGACAAACAAAAAATGTTATTATGGCCACGCCCCCTGACAAACCAGAAGGCGGCCATCTTGGATTGAAGTTTGAGTCCACGTTTTCGCTGTCATTGCGTTTGAACGAACTCCTCTGAAGACGCTTCACCCACAGGCCTGAAAATCACCGTACATCATCTAGACAAGTGGAACATCTAAAGTTAGCTGATTTTTTTTGATAACTGTCACGGTTTACGTGCGGCAAAGCCGCAAATTTCGGTAAAAATTTCGCCTAAATTCAAGGTGACATTATTTGTTCCTGTTCACACAGACTTAGTCCGATCGTGTTGAAATTTGAATCACTAATGTGTGATCTCAGTCTGAATATAATACACTATAAAACATATGAAAAGTGAACACTATAGCGCCCCCTACCATAGGCATGAAACGTCAACATTGTCGGATCTGCACCAAATTTGGGAAGTAAATTCTATCCATGATTACGAGCAAAAAATTATATTATGGACATGATACCATTTTCACTGTTGGCCAGCAGGGGCGCAAAGACTCAAAAATTTGGCGCCTATGGGAGACGTCCCCGTCATCTTTGTCATAGAGCCACGAAATTCGGTACACACATTCATCATGTGAAGACAAACAAAAAATATTATTATGGCCACGCCCCCTGACAAACCAGAAGGCGGCCATCTTGGATTTACATTTCAGTCCACGTTTTCGTTGGCGTTGCGTTTGAACGAACTCCTCTGAAGGCGCTTCACCCACAGGCCTGAAAATCACCGTACATCATCTACAGAAGTGGAACATCTAAAGTTAGCTGATTTTTTTTGATAACTGTCACGGTTTACGTGCGACGAAGCCGGAAATTTCGGTAAAAATTTCGACGAATTTCAAGGTGACATTATTTGCTCCTTTTCGCACAGACTTAGTCCGATCGTGCTGAAATTTGAATCACTAATGTGTGATTTCAGTCTGAATATAATACACTATAAAACATATGAAAAAACACTATAGCGCCCCCTACCATAGACATGAAACCTCAACATTATCAGATCTGCACCAAATTTGGGAATTAAATTCGAATAATGCCTAGAAGCAAAAACTTTATATTACTGACATGGGCATTTTTTCATGGTTGGCCAGCAGGGGTGCAA